GCCTTAGCCTCCCAAGTAGCTGGTACTGCAGGCACCTACCATAACACCCGGCTAGTTTTTCTACTTTCAATAGAGACAGGGTCTCTGTTTGCTCCGACTGATCTCCAACTCCTGAGCTCAAGCGATCCTCCTGCTTTGGCCTGCCGAGAGGATTACAGGCATGAGCCACACCGCACCTAGCTGGTGTTCATTCATCTAAATGTTTTTTTTTTTCTGTGACCTCTATATTAATTTGTATTAATAACTTTACCCCCATTTTGCTTTCTCCACCATCTATGCAGGCATCCCACCCACTCAGCTCTCCAAATACGGAGACCTTGGGCACGTGAACACCCGCGTAGTTCAGGAGCCCCTCGCCTTCCTCCTGCCTAAGAGAGAGCCAGTCTTCCCTCCTGATGGAAAGGAGCCAGCGCCCGAGCTCACACCGCGGGCACCGGAGCCCCTGGAGGAGGAGCCGGGCCCCGAGCCTGCCCCCTCAGCCAGCCCTGAGAGTGGCCAACAGGAGGTGGACTCGGAGGAGCCACCGCAGGGGGACCCGCCTGCCGTGGGGACTTAGGACACCAGGGCTGGTAGGCAGGTCGGCGGGGAGGGCAGTGGCCGGGGCCGCGGTGTGAGCCCGCGAAGGTGGTGGTGGGGAGATGACGACGTCGGGGTGCCTCTTGTACCTGGTGGAACTACACAATAAAGCTGCACGACTGTCACCGCCGTCCGGCGCCCTCGCTGGCGGGAGGTGCGCGCGGCGCTTCCCGGCTTCCCCCGCGGCCGGGGCGGGGCGGGGCGGGACGCCGCGGGCGCCATGGGCCGGCTGTGCGGCGACCTTCTGCCGGCGTTCCTGCCCGGACTGCTGCGGCCGCGTCGCTGCGCCGGGCCGGCCCTGCTGTGGCCAGAGGAGGCAGCGGCCGGCGGCGCCCGGGCCTGCAGCTCCGCCGCCGCCCCGGACAGCCTCGAGGGCCCAACGCGCCAGCGCTCCTACTGGCGCTACGTGAGGCGCCTGGTGCTGGGGGCGCCGCAGCCGCCCTTCTCGCACGTGTGCCAGGTCGGCGACCCAGTGCTGCGCACCGTCGCGGCCCCGGTGGAGCGGGCACAGCTGGCTGGGCCCGACCTCCAGCGGCTGGTGCAGCGGTTGGTGCAGGTGATGCGGCGCCGGCGCTGCGTGGGGCTGAGCGCGCCGCAGCTGGGGGTGCCCCTGCAGGTCCTGGCTCTGGAGCTCCCAGAGGCGCTATACCGCGCCTACGCGCCCCGGGTGCGCGAGCTGCGCCAAATAGAGCCCTTCCCTCTGCGTGTGTTCGTGAATCCCAGCATGCGGGTGCTGGACAACCGGCTGGTCACCTTCTCCGAGGGCTGTGAGAGCGTCGCTGGTTTCCTGGCCTGTGTGCCCCGCTTCCAGGCCGTGCAGATCTCAGGTGCGAGGCCCCGGCCAGTGGGTGACCGCGTGTGTCTCTCCTTGCCCGGCGATTAGCAGGGCTTAGGAATGGACGGGACTCAGAACTGACAGAGGCTTCTATGAGAGCAGCATGGGGCTGGGAGGGCGCTCTAATTCCTGATACCTCACACCTGGTCCTCTCTCTGTCCCCGTGACTCACTCTGTCTCCAGCACTCACCCACACTTTTGACCTGATAAGAGCTGTCACGATGGGGTTGAAGTGGGACTCGGCTTTGCCTAGACCCCGTCACACTACATGTTGCTTTGCAGAATGTGGTTCTCTGCTGGGGTTATGATGATTGTTCCTCCACAGCAAGCCAGATGGCCCACAAGGGTCAGAAAGTCAGTGGTGTCCCAAGCTGAAATACACAGCAACACCTCGGAGGTGGGAGGGGCATTCAGAAAAGAAACATCTTAGGAAGATACTGCTAACTTTCCATCTCTCATTCACAAAGTCCAAAAACCTAATTACTCGGGTTAGGAACCCGGTGGAATACTTGGTAATGAGCGGAGTTGAAGCATCGTTCCTTGGAAGACTGCTGTCTATATTCACTTTCTGCTGCTGCCTCCTGTAAATGGCCACAAAGAGGGGGTAGGGAAGAGAGGAAGGAGGTTGAGAATGATGCAGTTGAGCTGTCCCCACTCACTCAGGCTGTACCTTCCTTTGTAGGGCTGGACCCCGGAGGGGAGCATGTGGTGTGGCAGGCGAGTGACTGGGCAGCCCGCATCGTCCAACACGAGATGGACCACTTGCAGGGTTGCTTGTTCATTGACAAAATGGACAGCAGGACATTCACAAACGTCCACTGGATGGAGGTGAATGACTGAGGCTTTCTGGCTGGAGCAGAAGAGTCTGAAGACCAAGAAGCAAACGCTATGGTTTTGATCTGGGTGTGTCTTACTTGGCATCAACTTCGTATTGATTTGACTCTGACAGGAAGTGGTGATGTGCCAAAGCATGCCAAACTGAGCTGGAGGAAGATGCTAGAAATGTTTGCCTGAAATCAGCTATGGACAAAATATGCCAACAAGTTGAGAAGAAAAATACCTGCCCCCAAAGGAATAGATGTTTCCTGACAATGTTGTCTGGAGATAAATGGGGCAAGTAGATTCATTCTCAGTAGAAATGAGTTCATGAGACCTGTATAACTATGCTCTGAACCAAGATTTGATAATAATGTAGTCCCCAGATCTCTGAAAGCTGTGTTTAAATATGCAGGGAAGGCTGTGGTTAACTGTCTTCACAGAGTTCTTATTTTTACATAGGGGTTGTGTGTGTGTGTCCTTGGTTTGCTTTGGATGCCAGTTTGCTTGTGGAAGTGAAAGAGAAAACAGAACGGCCCCAGCACAAGAAGTGTTTAATAACAGCTTTAGGAAGTTACTAACATCTCAACAGGTTCAGATACCTTAGGTCTCCTTTTACCTTTAACAGACTTGGGGAGGATTTTGCTGCTCAGATCTCTTGGGCAGCTGGTACTTGGCTCATTCTTTGGGTGGAGGCCATGGAGCTAGGGTGGGGGTCGGGGTGATAATTGAGAGGGAGCCATGAGCCCCTTTCTGTCACAATTGGGGCAGGAGCAGAAAGCTTACAGCTGGTGAAAGGGGGCTGCTGTAGCCTGCCTTCTCTAAAACCCAGTATTAATGCTCTATCTTTGAAACCTGAGTGAGCCAGAACTGATTAGTTGGCCAATTCTTAGATCATGTTGACTTTGCACTACATGCTTTTGGTTACCACACTTACTGTGGAAAAATCAATAAGCATCACACTAACCGGCTTTAAGAAACTGTTAGAGTTGGCTCAGCGCCTGTAGCTCAAGTGGCTAAGATACTAGCCACATACACCAGAGCTGGTGGGTTCAAATCCAGCCAAGGCCTGCCAAACAATGACAACTACAACCAAAAAATAGCCAGGTGTTGTGGCAGGTGCCTATAGGCCCAGCTACTTGAGAGACTGAGGCAAGAGAATCACTTGAGCCCAGGAGTAGGAGGTTGATGTGAGCTGTGACGCCACAGCTCACCAAGGGTGATAAAGTGAGAGCCTCTGTCTCAAAAAAAAAGAAAGAAAGAAACTGTCAGAGCTTTGTCAAGAGACAAAGAACTCAGTTTTAGATAAATTGCCTCTTACCTCATTTTGAGTTAGTCACTTTTCTTTTTAAAGATCAAGTCTCTCTATGTCACCCTGGTAAGAGTACAGTGGTGTCACTGCTCACAGCAACCTCAAACTCTTGGGCTTAAGTGATTCTCTTGCCTCAGCCTCGCAAGTAGCTGGAACTACAGGTGCCTGCCACATTTTTTGTTCAGCTGCCCTGGTTTATGTGGCGCCCTAATCACTGAACTACAGGTGCCAAGCCAAGTTTAGCTACTCTTGCCCCCAAAAAGGGTTCAAAATATACTAGTAGGAAGTCTAGTAAGTTGTTCAGAGAAAATTGTTTGCAGTTAATTAAGCCTAGGAAAGACCCATCCTCCCATATAGCTTTGGGGCGGGGGGTGGGGGGGGCAATGAACCGTGCAGAAGGAAATTGGCTCCAGGTGCAGTCACACTGAAAGGGAGTCATCACCAAGGTCAGAGATTGAGCCATTGGGGAAGCTCTATTTATACCAAAAACAGGGGTCCAGGGCAGTGCCTGTGGCTCAAAGGAGTAGGGCACTGGCCCCATATACCGGAGGTGGTGGGTTAAACCCAGCCCTGGCCGGAAAAAAAAAAAAAAACTGGGTCCATATTAAATCCACTTTCATGGTGAAAGCCAATGTAGGCAGAGGATTTAGAAAAGAATTGCTCTTTTTTAGAAAAGTGAATTTCAGTGGCACCCATAGCTCAGTGGTTTGGGCGCTGACCACATGCTCTGGGGCTGCTAAACCAGGTTCAAACCTGGGTTCAAACCCAGCCCAGGCCTGCTAAACAAACAAACAAAAAACAGCCAGGCATGTGGCTCTGCGCCCAGATGGGGAAGCATAATCATATTTAAAAAGGACAAGGACCTGATTGAAAGAAAGTAACTGGCCAGTCAGGGTGGCTCATGCCTATAATCCTAGCACTCTGGGAGCCCCAGGTGGGTGGATTGCTTGAGCTCATGAGTTTGAGACCAGCCTGAGCAAAAGCAAGACCCTATCTCTACTACAAAATAAAAACTGAGGCAAGAGGATCACTTGAGTCTGAGTTGTAGGTTGCTGTGAGCTATGATGCCACAGTACTACCCAAGGCAACAGCTTGAGACTCTCAAAAATAATAATAATAACTGAAAGTGAAATTTTATTCATTTATTTATTTATTTTGTAGAAACAGAGTCTAACTTTATCACCCTCAGTAGAGTGCTGTGGCATCACAGCTCACAGCAACCTCCAACTCCTAGCTTAGGCAGTTCTCTTGCCTCAGTCTCCCGAGTAGCTGGGACTACAGGAGCCCACTATAACGCCGGCTATTTTTTTGTTGCAGTTTGGCTGGGGCCGGGTTTGAACTCATCATCCTCAGTATATGGGGCCAGTGCCCTACTCACTGAGCCACAGGCGCTGCCCTAGAAGTGAAATTTTAAAAACACAAGTAAGTAGCTAACATGAAGCTGCAGACAGAGCAGTCAAGATCCTTTCATTCCAGCATTTACAAACTGGTGGCTGAGGGCACATAACCCTCAGCCACCAAAGGCCAAAGTTGGTGCATAAATGTCACTTGAACGTCAAGCCTGCCAATGGTCCAGGTAACATGGGGGAGTACACTGGAAAGCAGTGCTGGAATCAAGCTCTCTTGCTACTAATAAAGTTAGCAGAGGCTCCTGACCAGAGCAAGGAAACTCAGTGCAATGCCAATGTGATGAAGAATTGGCCAATTAATCAGTTCTGGCCCGTTCAGGTTTTTGGTTGGTTCTGTTTTGGTTTTGAGACAGTCTCACTTTGTCACCCTGGGTAGAGTGCCATGGCTTCAGCTCACAGCAACCTCAAACTCTTGCACTTAAGAAATTCTC